TACTCAATCAATTACCGAATCAATTAAATTATTAATCAATAATTCAATAATCACATTGTGATTATTGATATCATAATTGATCACGTGGGTACAAGGCTTTAGCGATCCCCTGATTTAGGCAAAGAATAAGCTGATAACACAAAATTCAAAATAAACAAAATATAAACAAACACGTAAACAGATTACATAAGCAAAACACGGTAGTAACCGAGAACATAATACAAGAATCAGTGATACAAGATAATCAAAAAACATCTAATAGTATAAACTAGTATGGGAAGTTAAACAAATATTAACAAATCTTTACCAGGATGGAAGATGAATTCAAAGAAATAAAGAAAGCTTATGAGTCAGAAGTGTTGAGAATAGATAGAGAGCTAGTTGCAATAACATGTGCAGTACCGGAGATAGTATATCTTTTTAGAAATATTATAGAAATATACAACTACTGCAAATATATCAGAATAAAAGATAGAGAAAAGCCTACTAGCAACAAAGAGAGCAATAGTAATGCAAAAGACTCAGATACAAACAGTCTAATAGATAGTCTAATTAAACAAGAAGTAAGTTAACCAGATTTTGAAACAGAAGAAATTAGAGACAAAAATAGACAAGAAAACATAAAAGCTAAACAAACAGCTAACTCAGATAAAAAATCTGATGATTTGGAAATAGTCAAAAATATAGAAAGCTACCCAAATCCTCAAAACAGTTCTTTGAAAGAGAAAAAAGGCACCAAAGAAACTGAAGAGTCATTACAAGAAAACCATAACCCCAATGACTACAAAGAAAGTACAAACAACAATAATATCTAAAATCAATCTAAGCATCCAAAGATCCTAAAGAGTATAGATTTAAAATAAAAGAAAAATCAGAAAAGATAAATATCACAGTATGGGATATTCCAAATGAAATGAGAACTAGCCAAATTAGAAGATATCTTAGTTTCTATAGAAAAGCAGCAGTTGTAGGTATTAGAGCAAATGGCAAAAACAAGGCAGCACACATACAAATAGAGCCAAGAGATGGAAAGAAAAAAAAGCTATTACAAACAATTTGGGCAGTATATCTTGAAGAAGGAAAAATGTCAAGACTAACACAGGGCATATTCAACACCAAAATGCTTCAAGAAAGAAGCAGATACAAAGCGATAATCAAAGACATCTCCAGATCGGCAATAGAATCAGCTTTCCTCAGACAAATTAAAAACACAAAAGCAAAGGCAGTATATATATCTAAGAACAGAAATAGAAATCAATGGCAAACAGCTAGCGTTTACTTCAAGAGCAATAAAGATATGCAGATAGCATGCAAATTCCTAGTGTATTATTACAATACAAAATTAAATTGGCTAGTTAAAAACCAAGAAAAACAAAAAAGAGAACAAGAATTAGCTGATCTAGTAGGTAGAAAAGGCAAAGCAGTGGAAATCTCTATAGAAAATAAAGAAAACAATTCTTATATAGAGAAAGATTGGAATCAACCAACCTATAGAAAAAAACTATCTAATAGAAAAAAGATTTCAGAAAAAGAAACCGTAACCAGGAAACTTTTGATAAGCAAATCGAATGCAAAAAATAGCAGAGATACAAAGACAAATGCTAACAAAAACAGCCCATTTAAAAAAGAAAGTAGCAGAATCAAGAATTTGTTAAACCAAATTGTGAACAGACTAGATAAGCTAGAAACCAAACAAGAACAATACAAAAGTGCTAGAAAGGGGGAAACTTCAAACCGCTTCTAAAAGTAGCCACAAACAAACAAGAGAGCCAATACAGAATGAAAGGCCTGCTTATACAACATATAGACAATAACTAACCTCCTCAAAACAATTTAGACAATTTAGAAAGACTAAATATTGAATATCACAATATAAATAGGCTCAAAGTAAACAAAGACAAATTTGACTTAATTTTAGATTTTATCAAAGATATTTTAGATTTAGAAGAAACAAAAATCTCTGAAAAAGAAGGAAAACTTCTTACCAAAAACTCTAAAAAGTATCACAGTTTCTGGGCAACAGCAGAGAAATATAAGTACAAGGGGTCAAGGGTAGGAATCATTATAGAAAAAAGATGTGAAAATCACATTTCTAAAGTTAATCATATTAACCTATATATATTAGAAATAAGGCTAGATTTTAAAAGACTAAGAATATACATTATAGCATTATATGTAGCACCAAATAACCTCAAAATACAAAAGAAAATTTACAAGGCTTTAAAAAAAAGATTAGAATATCAAAATCGCAAACCAAACAAACTTATAATCCTAGAAGATTTTAATATAGATATCCAAGCAGAAGAAACAGAAAAGAAAAAAGGCAAACTGATATTACAAAGACCCAGAAACAAAAAAAGACAAATTCTAGATCTTCTAGAAAAGAAAAATATGGTTGATATACTTAAAATAGCAAATCCCCAAAGTTATATAACAACATAGGCTGGATGAGGAAGTAAAACCAAAATCGATTATATTTGAATATCACGAAGCTGGAGTTTAAATTTAGTAGCAGCCAAAATGTACGATGTGGAATATATAACAGCAAGAGACCACAAGCTGCTATTAGCCAAAGTAGAAACAGGACTCTATGAAAGAAAAATCTCATTTGTGAGGCTCTGCAAAAAGGATCAAAGCAAAGTTAGTATAAACTTTAAAAAGATAACAGAAGAAGATTAGGGCAACTACAAAGAAAAACTAGAAAAAGAACTTAAAAAATCATTTAAAAAAGATGGAAAAAATAAACACCAGGCTATCAATAAAACAGATCTACTAGAAGATAACAACATAGATGAAATGTGGGAAATAATACAGAAAGCTATTCAAAGAGCAGCAGAAAACACGCTCTCCAAAAAGAAAAGAACACCAAAACTTCTAAAACTACAACCAGAAAATAAAGAGCTAAAAAGTCTCAAAAGAGATATAAAGACAACTGGAAAATGGTGTCGAAAGCTCAAAAAACTTGCAAATATAAGAGAAACTACAACTGACAGAGAAGACCCAACAGACAAGCTAGTGAAAGAATAGTTATTAGTTCTAGAAAGCAAGTTTACAAATATTTTTTCTAAAGAGAAAACACAAGAGGAATAAAAAAAAACGAATACTAAAGCTAAGCTCGAGCTGTGGTGGAAAGGGCTATACAAAATATGGCAGATAAAAAAAAGAAAAGAAGAAGAGAAGACAATTCAAGAACATATCGAGAAGAGGCATGCAATAATAGTATGTAACCAGAAAAAGATGAACAATAGCTTACTTGAAAACCAACAAACAATTTGAAGCTAGACAAAATATTACTTGAAGAAGAGGAGGATGCGGAAGAAGAGCTAGTATATAGTCCACAAAAAGTACTTGAATCAGTTAAGAACCATTTCCAAAAACAGTTCAGAAAAAAAATACAAAAGTAGATGAACTCTTATCATTTTGGAAAAAAGAGTATGAACTATTAGAAAGTATAGAAGATAAGTGGTATGAGAAACTAACTAAAAGAGTAAAGCAAGAAGAGTGGGACCTAGCTCTACTCCAAATGAAAAATGGGTCAGCCCCAGGGTTATCAGGAATACCTTACTCTCTACTTAAGAATATAAAAAGGTTTGTAAAAAGCAGATTCATTAGCTTAGTATCTGTATATATAAAATCTGAAAAAATCTTCAAGTGGAAAATCAGGATGCTCTACTCAATACCAAAAAAAGAAGAATGGTGATACAAACTGAACAATCTGATCCATATTACTCTTAGAGACTTTCCAAAAAACAGTTATTAGAATAGTAAACAACAAGCTTAGTAAAATACTAAGAGAAAAAAAAGTACTAAAGAGTCAAAACTTTGCAGGCTTGCTAGAAGAAAAAATAGCAGCACCAATATAGCTAATTAACTGTATCCTAGAAGATACCAAGGAAAAAAATAAAAAGGTTTGGCTATTTTTTCAAAACATGAAAAAAGTCATTGATTCAGTAAGCCTTCAAATGCTAAACCTGGAACTAAGATTCCAGAGAAAACCAGAAGCTTCATTATAGATCTTTATAATAAAAGAGAAATGGAGGTCTTAACCAAGTACGGTTTAACAAAGTAGTTTCAGACACAAGATGGAATCGACCAGGGAGAAGTAATTTCTCTCCTAGTATAGAAAATTTTTTATGACACTTTATTAGTCATGATACAAAAAGAGAAAGAAGTAAGATATGAAGTTCAGATAGATTGGTTGACAAACCTAAGAACAAATGAAATAGAAAAGCAAAAAAGAAAAATTAAAGTAATCACTTATATAGACAATACAACATATATCACAACCTCCAAAGAAGAGCTCAAAAAGATTCTAGAAATTGCAGAAAGTTTTTACAAAATTAATAACATCGAGATCAACACAAAGAAGTTAGAGCTAATAGTTGTAAATAAAAGCAAGAAAGAGGAGAACTACTTAGAATTAAAAGAAGGTGAACAGATCCCAATTAAAAGAGAAAAAAAAACAACTAGATTTCTAGAAGTGTGGCTCTCAGTAAAAGCAGAAAGAAGAGCAGCAATAAATATAGTTCAAAATGAAGTAAATATAATAGTCAATATACTCAAAAAGAAAAAGATTTCACTAGCACATCTGGTCTACTTAAACAACAGAGTTCTCTTACCAAGAATTGAGTATAGACTATAGCATTATATTCTGCCAAAAGAAGTATGTAACAAGCTCCAAAGCCCTATTCTTAGCCTAATTAAAAACAAAGCTGGCATGGCTAAAACAGTGGCAAATACAGTATTTGTATATAAAAATATTGTTGGACTTAAAACAATATAGCAAAACCAAATAGTGCATTATATAACAGAACTAATAGCCAGATTAAACAACCATAAAGAGATTGGACAGATAATCTGGTTGAGACTAAAACAAGCACAACTAGACTGCAAGAGTGCCATTTGTATTTTAGCTCTCAGTAAAACAAGATTAGACAAAGTAAAAATCTGACACAATATTAATTACAAAATCCTCTAAGAAGCAAGTAATCTTGAAATAAATATTCAAGCTCCAGAGATAGAAAAGGGGCTAATGTTAGAGAAACAAAGAACTAAAATAGTAGACCTGCTCAATGTTGAAGAAGCAAATAGTTTTTGCAAGAAGAAAACAGTTAATATTTTTTTTTAGACCAAATTGTCGAAATCATGAAAGGCAGATTACTAACATGAGAGCAAATCAAAAGACTCAGAGGAGTTCAAGCTAGAGACAAAAGACCCAAGTAGTTTATAAGTTTAGAAAACAAAGTATTGGAGTTTAAAAATCAAAAAATCTGTAAGAAAGAGTACCAACACAAATTAGTAAAGAGTTTAAAAATTAGAGTAAGCCTTGAAGAAATAAGTCAAAACTCGAAGAAAAAAGAGTGAATAATATATAAGAACTCAGACAAAAGTGTTAGTATAGAAAAAATAGCAAGAAAAAAAAAATCAGAAGTACTAGAAATAGAGTATTGGAAAGAAGAAACTGATTCAACAGGCTAAAATCTCTATTTAGTACAATGTAAAGAATGTGAACAAGATATGAGAGACCAATCTTGCAAGAACAGAAAAAAGTTTAAAATAACAAAAAGAGTTATAAACAAAAAACCTCTTAGAAAAAATACGTCATGAAAGTAATAAAGTCTGAAAACTCAAAATACCAAAGCAATATCTGTCTCTCAAGGAACCAACGTATAAAAATACACAATTAAATCGCTCTTCACTTATCGAAAATATAAAAATCTAGTCCTTAGAAGAAGAAATTATAGAAAGTGGAGTTCAAGACATAGACATAATAAGAAAGCTACAAGAGAAAACACATCTGCTTCAAGGAGAAAAAGAACTTATTTTCTACACAGATGGCTCTTGGCTTAACCCTAAAGAACAATATGATGAAGTGAAAATAAGAGCAGGTTGGGTAGTATTTAAAGAAAAGGAGGGAGTAAAGAATCTAATAACAGACTTTTCATGTGCAATAACTAATTGGCCTTTATCAATGAGAGCTGAACTAGGAGCCATAGCAACTGCGCTATTTTCAACACCTAAGGATGCAAGGGTTACGATAGTAATAGATAGTGCTACAGCAATACAAGCTATTAAGAAAAGTCAACAAACACTCAAATTAAGAGAAGGGCTTAAAATCAAGAATAGAAGTATTCTGTGATATATACAAAGGCTTAAAAAAATTAAAAGTATAGATTTGTATATGAAGAAAATTAAAAGGCATAGCAACATTTGAAAAAATGACTTGGCAAATAAGTTAGCAAAAGAAGAAGCCGAAAAAGAAGCAGTTTTGGAATTTAAAGACTTATAAAGCAGTCTGTCCAAGGCTATAGTAAAGTGAAAAAACTTAAAGCTAGATAGTGAGATAAAAAGTAGTATAAACAAGATAGTTTTAGGGTATCTTGATATAGAGTGGGTGAATTTGAATACAACAAGAAGTGGTTTGAACAAAAAGAGGAGAAAAACAAAATAGCATGGTAGAAAACATAGAGGAATATAGACAAATTTAAAAAAGGAAATTGTACAAGTACAAAAAAAAATAGAGAATGAATATTTAGAATTAAGTGTTTAAATGAAATCCTACCAACACTAGACAAACTTAACCAGAGAAACCTAGCTCTATATAAATTTAATACATGTATAGCGTGTATAGAGGAGACAGAAACACAGAATCATCTAGCAACTTGTACAATATATCAAAATATCTGAAACAGAATAGAGAATGAAATAAGCGATAAAATAGCCAAAAAATTAGAAAAAAAAAGCAATTTAATAGATTTCTCCTAGAAAAAAATAAAAGAAAAGATTTTTAGGCAAACTACAGCTGAAAAGAAAGAAACAAAAAAAGAACTGATAAGAGGTCTTATAACTAAAAAGAGAAAGAGAAACCTCAAAGAGTTATGCCAAGATCAGACAGAAAAGAAGAAAATAACAAACACTTTCTTAGATAGCTTTAAAGAAAAGTTTTAGAAATGTATCTAGAATTTCAAATGCGAGAATGTAGTAGAATAGGAGAAAGATCAAGGTATAGAAAAGGCAGAAAAAAGAAGAAAGAAGGGCTTAAAAGAGAAGAAAAACCAAATCATTCCAGACAAAGAAAATAGAGACCTAAATATCACAGATAAAAAAACAAGGAAATCTAATAATAAAGATTAAAAAAATGAAAAAGCCAAAAGAAAACAAAAAAAAGAAAATTTAGAGAAAAGAAAAAAAGTCTGAGCGACCCAAAATATTAAAGATTGGATAACCAAAAATATAAAACTGAAGTGGTCATCCTAGAACAAGTCTAAAATACTAAAATAAGTGGCACTCTTAACATGCCATATGGTAGCCAATAAAAGATTCTGGGAAACAAGTTTTTAGTAAGTTAAAAATCCTGGAAGAGATAAACGACTATAATAGCAGGTTGCACCTAGATATCTGGTATTGAGTGAGTCTTAATTTGGTTAGGTAGTAGATAGACACTAATTTCATAATATAAATTATTAGTCTTGATATCTTAATAAATAAAGACAGGATCGCTAAAAAAAAAAAAAAAAAAAAGAAAGGGTAAGAATATAAGGAAAAAAAAAGATGAACCAATAACTATACAAAAAAAAAACATAAAAAGTTAAACCCAAAACAGGCTAATAGAAAAAAAAAAATTACTTTATACAAGTAGCAAGAGATAAAAATATAAAAAAGCCTATATACAAATTGCACTATTATAACCTATACTAGGCTTGTAAAAAAATTATATAGTAAATGCAACATTTCTATATCTTTAAATGCAAAGTAAAATCAAAAATATAACTACTTTTTAACTATACACCTGCCTTTAGTTACTATACAATACTTGGTTCTTAATAAGTTATATAGAGTAGTAATATAATTGTTTAT